AGACACCAAGGATATCCTGTATGAGTGCTCCACTCTTTGATACCAGACTTATAGGTTTGGCTGTCCCAGATCTAGTACAGCTGGTCATTGGGAGTGGTAGTCGACCTTACGAGGGCTATTGAGTGTCGATAGAGGATCATCCACTCTCGGCGTCATGAGAGGAATATCCCATGTGTTCTCGCTCAGATAAATCCCTGGCCAGGGTCATTCGGGTTGAGAGAGAAAGAGTTCTCTAGGAGAATCCGATTAGAGCGAGATTCGAGTAGAAACCGTATGGGTCTGACAGCACCATGCTCGATATACGGTCTTTGGGATATTAGAGGGATGAGGGACTATATGTACACGGTAACTGAGGATAGACAGGTCCAATGGATTGGATTCCCCTGTATCGTCTGGGGACTACGGCGTAGTGGCCTAGTACGTCCGTAGTCGATGAGTCGAGTGAATTATTACATAGATAATAATTCACTGAGTTAGAAGGAGTTCTGACAGGTATGATTCACGGCCAGCTCGATATTGTGCCTAGAGGGTCACACACATATGGTAGGCATTGCGATGAGTAGAGGTTCGGATATGAGATATCCGACGGAGCCCTTGTCTTATTGGATGCAGATCCAATACCCACTAGGGGAGGACCCATTAGGGTTTGACATGGGACCTCTATAAATAGGAGGGACTCAGAGCCTCATAGGCTAGAGCCTTTGCTTGCCTTTCCTATTCTCCTCTCCCTCTCCACCTCAAAGCAGGCCTGGAGTTTTGAGGAGCGTCGTCGCAACCCTGCTATGTGGACGCTTGACCTCCTTCACCCTCTCCTAAGGATCTGCAAGGAAACAGGGATATACGATCTCCCTAGGTACACAATCTATTTTATACGCAGTTTTAAGTTTCGCGGATTTTGCACACCAATCTTCGTACGACGACGAACATCTCTTTAGGAATTGGGGATTTTGTTTTCTTATTCTTCTGCTGCGCATATGATGTCGCCCCAAGATTTCCCAACAGTCTTCAGGTCGACGCCCGTCATGTCGGAGGGCGACCAAGCAAAGACGTCGGCATTCTCCTGTAGGAAGCCGACGAGTTGCTCCCGCTCTTGCTCGGGGAGTTCCGACCCAATCCTGATCGTTCGGTCTAGCCGATCCTTCATTAGCGGTACGTCGCAAGTGGGCGCCGTTGGCTCAGGATGTGGGGTCGGCTTCTTCATTTCCCTAGGGTCCCCCGGGGGTTGCTCGGTCCTCGCCCTTTTGTGCAGTGAGACTGTTGTCAAGTAACATTGCTTGGTCTCACGGGGGCTTCCCCAGACTTCCCCGGCCTCAGCGTGGGTCGAGAACTTCACCGTTTGGTGATAAGTGGAGACGACGGCCCTGATTTTGTTGAGGGTTGGGCGGCCGAGGATGGCGTTGTATGCAGTGGGGAGGTCGACCACTAAGAAGGTGGACATCACCGTCTTCGATCTTGGTGGAACTCCCAAGGTTATAGGCAAAGTGACTGCTCCCAATGGCGAAATCGAGTCGCCGGTGAAGCCGGTGAGCCCCGAGTGCATTGGCGCCAAGGCTTCTCTAGCTAACCCAAGCTTCTGGAAAGCATCCAAATAGAGCACGTCGGTCGAGCTCCCAGTGTCGATCACGATCCTCCTCACCTAAGCATTGGCGATCCTAGCAGTTATCACGAGCGCATCGTCGTGCTCAGATCGCTCGGCACCATCGTAAGGGAATGTGACCTCCGGCTCGAGGCCGGGTCCGGGGGCATCGGCTCTGGCGGAGCGGGCGTATGCCTTTCGTCCGGACATGCTATTCCCCCCGGCTGCTGGGCCGCTAGTGATCACGTTGATCTGACGCTCGATGGGGCCCTCTGGGTGGGGGGAAATCTCCTCGCCTCGCTGGAGGTACCGACCGAGGTGTCCTTTGCGGATTAGCTCCTCAATCTGTCGCTTCAACTCACAACACTCCTCAGTGTCGTGCCCGCTTTGTTGATGGAAACGACAATACTTCGACTGATCCGTGAGTTCCCACAGATTTTTCATCGGGTTGGGGGTTCTGAGTAACCCTTTGTCTCTTATCTGGAGAAATATATCTGTTCGGGATGAACCCAAAGAGGGGAGTTGAGATGTCAACGCTAGCGGGTCGGGGCAGTCCAATCTGCGCCTCGGTGCGGCAGACTGTTGCCCGCGGGACGGATCCGCCCTGACCCTTTTGTGCTCCTCCCACTTCCTGGCCATCCAGACCTCCGCCGCAATGAACTAGTTCGCCCGCTGAAGCATCTCCGGGACCACGGTGGGGGGTCGTTCCACCAGGGATCAAAAGAATATGGAGGGCCGCAAGCCTATCATAAACGCCTGCATCAATAGAGAGGGATGAGCGTCCGACAACCCCCGGATTTGCGTAGTAAAGCGATTCACAAAGTGGGAGAGGGGCTTGTCCTCCCTCTGGTTGAGCCCGAGAAGTAGTGCGACGAATGGCTTTGGCCGAGCGTAGGCCAAGAAGTTAAGCTCGAAGTCTCTGACGAGCTGATCAAAGGAGGTAACCGTCTCGGCCTTAAGGCCGTTGTACCACGTGCGAGCTGGCCCTCTCAGAGTTGTGGGGAACGCCCTGCACATCAAAGCGTCAGAGGTTCCGTACAGCGCCATCTGGGTACGGAAAGCGGCTACATGGTCCGCCGGGTCGGTGGAGTCGTCATATGCGTCCAGAGAGGGGAGCCGGAAGTTCGGGGGGACCGTCTGATCCTGTATCTCGGGCACGAACGGAGACCCCTGGCGCGTTTCCTCCCCGAGCTCTCCCTTAGACCTGCGAACCTCCTGCTGCACTTCGTCGAGCCATTGACTAACAAAGCGTAACTGGGCTCGTAGGGAGTCTGTTGAATCTGAAGATAATGCCTCGGGTTCCGGGCGGCTCCTCGGATTTGTCGTCACTCGATCCCCGAGCGGGGTCGATCAGAGCCGAGGCGAAGTCGGGACCTCCGGAGGTAGCGCGTGAGCCTGGACGGGCGGCACCTGTTGCCGCAGTGGTCGGATCGCAGGCGGATTCTCCGGACGAGAAACGAGTGGGATAATGGTTTGCACCATACCCGTCAACACTCGGACCTGATGAGCGAGGTCTTGAAAAGCCTCGGACAACACGAGCGATGGGTTGGCTGGAAGACCCTCGGGTGGTGATAAGCCCGGGTCGTTGAATAACCGCCAATAGCGCTCTGATGTCGCGGCGGGGTGTTCATCTCGAGGTTCTCCTTACGGGGGGCGTTCCCCCGGAGCCCCGATCGGGAGTGACCCTTCAGTTGCGGGTTCGTCTGAGTTGATCTGCCGATCCCTCGACATTCGGCCCTCCTTCTAGCGCCAAAATGTTATTGTTAACAACTTTGAGCCGTGACCTCGGAGGTAACACGGCTTGGTTCGGGTCCGAATGGTTGGGAATCTTCGAGCGACCCTTGGGATAACTGAGATAGTTAGCTCCACTTGGTGCGATCACGACGGGGCCACTGGTTTCTTCGGGATGAGGCTCCTTGCTTGTACGTTCAGGGGGCGCTTCGTCTTCTTACCTGCACGAAGGTCGGGTCGGGGTAGATCGGCCCGACCCCTCCGACGATCAAGTTAGTCGATAGTGGCAGGGGGTTTTTCTCCTCCCTCTTTTTCCTCAGTCTGAGGGTTTTTATAGTGAAGGTTACCGTTGCCTGGTGTGACTGCTTCCGGGGAGTAGGATCGTACTCCCGGTAACGTCTGACAATGGTGTTGGCGTGGCGTGACGGACCGAGTTTGAGCAGGGTATTAATGTGCCTTGGTCGGCGTTCTGATCTGTTTTAGTCAGATGCTGTCGGGTCAACCGAGGGGTCATCCAGTTGACGTTACCCTAGTCACATCGTCATTATTGCCCTCATCACCATATTTTCTTTTCAATCTGTGTTGACTACTTTGAGTTGGCAGCCATAATCTCTTCCTCGTTCTAAAGCGTGATATTGACTAGATTGCAACCCATAAAGCTTACTGACGCCGGGGTCTCATCGAGCTCATCACGCCGGTCATGAAAGTTCAGTCAACCCACTTAACGTACAAATTCAAAAGCCACCATTATATTCGTATATTTTCCTGCGGAATAGTCACAGTACGGGGGAAAGAAAGAAAGAAAGAAAGAGAAGTAGCTGATACAGAAAAGAAAATAAAAGAAAGGTGATTCGAGTCTTCGGCTTTTAGTATCTCAGAAGAGCTTATTAGGCTCTCCTAGGACGAGTCGCTGCAGTAAAATGCCCCTAGGATTTGTTAACTTGGGACATCGTTATGTGTCTGTTTGACTGATCCATCTACCTGCGGCTTGTGTGGGCAAAACCTTCCACCAGATGAAGAAACTGTCCATGGGAAGGAGATGCTTCAGCTCGAGGAACATGGCCGTCATCCCATGTTCGATTCTTCTTCTGTTCTCCGTGGTCGCTGTTCAGGTTGGAGGTCAGTTTACGGACGGTCTCGGTAAGTAATTCTATCTTGCTTCCCCTTTACCTTCTTTCCAGACCATGTTCTTTGAACGTAGGTTTTCTCCATGCAAACGTTTACAGGAACTGTACAAATAAGACATCTTCCTGTAGATATCAGTAGTGAAACAGGTTCTGACTGTACAAGGAAACATAGATCATCTACAAGAGTTAGAGGAGAATATTAGCATGGTCAACAGAAATAGGATTTGTAACTAATATCATCTACGAGAGGCCCTTTCAAACATCGATCTAATAAAATTTTCCTTTGTTGGGTTGATGTGTGGAGTGTTAGGGTTGGTTATTATCCTAGAAGTTTTAATTATATTTTGGAGTATTAAGGATCCAAGTAATAAGAAGAATAATCCTTAAATAATTAAGATTTATTCGTATGAATAGATCATAAGTTTTAATGTTCTAATGATAGGGAGAGACAGAAACAAAGATACTTTAGATGATCCAAGTTTTTTTAGTGGATTGAAAAAAGAGTTCGAAAAGAAAGTACATCAGGGGTTTGGGTTAAATCAAGAGAAAATATTTTTTTATATTGAATTTTGTTATATAGTAAAGAATTTGATTTTTCCCTATCGAACCACATTAATATTCTATCGTCTTTTTGATATATACTTGAAAGTTTTTCTGATTTCAAAGTTTTTTTCTTTCTTCTCAACAAAGTAATATCATAGTTCAAAAGATCCAGTAATTATAGATTTAATAAAAATATCATTGGTCCGTTGATTTTATTGTCAAAAAATTTGATAGAATGAACAGTTTCACCCTGTAGCATAGGTATAAAAAAATAATCTTCAAATAATTATGTTTGTACTATCTAGGAAAATAATCCCTCTACTATCATATTATTATTATTATTATTATCTTCGCACCATCTAGGAAAATAATTCCTCTACAATCATTGACCTATTGGTTTCATACCTAAGAGGCTGATTGATTGTGATCACCCATTATTTAAGATATTGATATCTACTTGTCTCAACCATCAACCACAAGAAATAAAATAGCAATCGTGAAAACAATTTAAATAATGATTGATTTTACAACTGAGCTGAATGTATCCATATATTCTTTTTCTCTCTTAGAGGAAACACATATTTCATATTTCATATTTCTGTATCATAATATAATATACATATTTCAATGAACATATAGATGCTCATGATTGGTCAGTTGGATGTATATTGTTGTTGTAAACTGTGTCAAATACTCTCATGCCTTTTCTTCTTTCTACGGCCTCTTCTCTACTCAAAAACATTTCATACATGTCTTCCCAGGTTTTATTAGCCTTGATTGTGGATATGGACGTGATGCTCAAGCATATTACGTGGGGACAATATCTGGTATAACGTACGTCTCTGATGCTCCTTACATAGACAGTGGCGAACCTCATAACATATCCGTAGAAGACGCGTCAGTTAATCTCTTCCAGCGATACCTCACCGTGAGAAGCTTCCCTAGTGGAGCTCGGAACTGCTACACCTTCAAATCAATGACCCCACGGCTTAAGTATCTCATCAGGGCATCATTCTTTTATGGCAACTATGATTCCAAGAACAGTTCTTCTGTTCAGTTTGATCTCCATCTTGGCGTCAATTTTTGGAAGACGATAACTGTGACCAGCAGATCGAACGTGTATTTCGCAGAAACTATCATGGAAGCCACAACCGATCTGATATCAGTTTGCCTGGTGAACACTGGTCGTGGAACTCCATTCATCACTTCGCTGGAGCTGAGACCACTCAACCGCACTCTTTATCCTGTCGTGAACGCATCTCTCAGTCTCATTCTCTTGTCGCGGTTTGACATGGGCCGGATAGGTGGTTATCTGAGGTCAGTCACACGAGATCCATCAGCATAGCTATTGATCCATTTGAGATTGATCTTTCTTTTCGCCTGATAACATAACAGGTTTCCTTCCGATCGCCATGATCGCATCTGGAATCCATTTGACGACACAACCTCTTTGACAAAGACATCGACTAATCTCCCAGTCGAAAATCCTGTGGATGATCACTTTGAGGCACCTCTTGACGTCATGAATACTGCAGTTGTCCCTGTGAACTCCAACAAACTGGAACTCAGTTTGGCAACAGAACCCGGGGGCCTCGATGAATACTACGCAGTCCTATACTTCTCTGAGCTGAAGCCACTGCTCCAGAATGAATCGAGGCAGTTCTTCGTCTACCTCGGAGGAACCTTGCTGAATGATGCCAAACCCTTCACCCCGGACTACCTTTCTTCCAGCGCTGTATACAGTACAAACCCTACTTCAGCACCCACTCACTACAACATCTCCCTTGTTTCCACAAGCGATTCCACCTTTCCACCCATCCTCAACGCAGGGGAGGTGTTTTCTACAATGCAGAACACGATTGTGCCATCGGATAGCAGAAATGGTAACGGTGATATGTATGTAATCCACTGCTTCTTTATGTTGTTAGTATCTTATGTTTGTTTCGTTCTGCCATATTGTTCAATCGGTCGATGCAAT